CCAGTAGGGCCCTCACCCATGAGGGGTGTGGCCATCCTGGGTGAGGGACTGATGGCTGTTTGCAGGCTGGCCACAGCCCCCAACCACCCAAGCTCCCAGTGGAGGCTGGCTGGAAGCAGGTATCTGGGATTTATTTATCTTCTATAATTGAAACTTTGTTGCCTTGAGCGGAGCCCACAGCCAGCCAGGGCAGGTGGGAAGCTTGGCTTCCTCCATTGCTGGGGGCAACCAAGCCTCCTGCTTGCTCCAGCTCTGTGGCTGCCAGCAGCCATCTTGGTTGGGTTAATTTGCATATAGTCGCTCTGATTGGCTGGTGGGCATGGCTGGTGGGCGTGGCTTGTGAGTATAGCAGAGGTACGGTCAATTTGCATGTTTCTCTTTTATTAGATAAGATTATTAGATTATTTTCCATATGAACAACTTTAAACCTACTTTTGACCCACCCTGTATTATAACCATTGTCAGTATCTTGCATGTGTGTAGTATTTTATACTTTTCTGCGCAATGTATATTGTTATCATTCTGTATCTTCAGAATAACTCAGTGAAAGTAGACAAATTATTTGTTTTGGCCAATCCTTCACATCCTTCAAAGTCTGGCTCAAAGGCTATAAACTCTGTTAGTAAACACACCTAAGAGCAGCAAGTGAACTTTCAAGTATTAAAAAGCTATCTGTATAGGTATTTTAGCTCCCCAGTTTGGCTGAAATAAGGACTGTATCTTACACATCCTTGTGTTCTCTCAGCATCAGGTTTAGTGCTTTGCACCCTATAAGCTTATATCTTGACCAGATCCAAGAATCAGGGACTTGGAGGTAGCCCTTGGAGAAAACTGTTTACAGTTCATAACTATTTGTCTGCAAACAGCTCCTCCTCTCATGACTTCAGATAGACCACAAGAGTCTGGTTTCTTACTGGCAAATGGAACTACACTTGGTCTTTAATTGCCATTGATGCCATTATTTTAGGAAAGTAAAATCTAAAACCCAAATCAACATTTACATGCTAAAATGGTAAATTATGGAGTACTTAACATACAATGCTACATATGGAGCTTTAATGACTTCCTCTGTATAACTCTTTGAACTCCATTCTTGCCTTTCTTCATTTGGCAATAGGCTTGATTCTGCTAGGGACCCTCTGAGGAGTTGAATACCTTAGAATTGTGCCCCTGAGTTACTAGTAAGAGTTGCCTTGGGGGTGTGAATTCTTCCAGGGTTTGTGCTTGTCTGAACTACTGAGTAGGTTCTCTCTCCCGCCCCTCCTCCCCCCAAACAAACCCCAGTGGGTAGCAGAGAAGCCTCAGGGCAGAAAGTAGGAGATACATAGGTCACGGAGTCCTCTGGTTATACCAA